CACCGGCCCCGCCTCCTTCTCTGATGCTGACCCCCCGGGCCCCGCCTCCTCCTCCCTGCCACGTCCAGCCTCCTCCACCGCCGCTGCTGATTCCCATTGACTCAGCAGCGGCTATGGAGAAGAATGCAGCGCTACACTGATCATGGTGATCTGAACAGTGGCGCGTTCGAACCCATAGCGACCCAGGCGGCCCGCACGGCATCAGGGGGGTGTCCTGGCCGGGCCCCCCAGCGGCCGCGGGTCGCTATGGCTATTGTTACGCCACTGCCCATGGCACTGTAGCTAATCTCCCTGGACGTGTACGAAGAACAGTTGATCAAAGATTGCAACGTGTAACAAATGAGCAAATCGTTTGTATGAATAGATCACAACTGCGGAGCAACTGCACAGAAATCATAAGTTATTTAGAAAGGAGGTGGTTCAGGTTGGGTTTCCACAGTAACACTCTATAATGGGAGAGAGTCAGTGCAGAACCCGTTGTACACAGGGCCGAATTTCCCACAAGGCCAACCAAGGCCCGGCCTTGGGGTAGGAGGGAGTAGAGTGGCAGCAGGGGTGTGGAATTCCTATCTCCCGATGCGCAGGACATGCAGTTCCGAGCGCCGGGTGGTAGTTGTTTCCTACATTTAGCTAAATGTACAGCGGGAAGGCCGCAGCTTGTTTTGTACAAGTGATCCCGGCGATGTCGCCGAGATCACTTGTATGCAGCCTGCGGGTCTGTCATTCTCCATGGGGGAGGGGGGGTGTTTAGCGGGGAGGGGGTCGCATTGAAGAACCTGGCCTTGGGGCAGCAGAGAGAGTAAATCCAGCCCTGGTTGTACATCATACACCACCTAAACTTAAAGTAGAAGCGTTACCACTTGTGCCACTGTATTTATTCATACAGTTGGCAAAACATTATCTGGCACTATGGTAAGTGATAGGAGGTAAGAAATAACGATTTTAACACAAAAATCATAAGACGTCACCATGAACAATGTTCAGCGTACACAGGGGCCTGATGGGATCGATAGTACCACACTGAATATTATCCAACAAGGTTGCCATGGTATTTATAGTTTAAGTACTGATTAGTGTTCAGTTTAAGCTGGCATATATCAAGTAATTGTTGCGTCACAATGTACAGATGGACCGGCTATATGATAACGCTCGTTCACAAATCCATCTCTATAAATGCAGAGAAGAACACTGAAATGATACAGTCCACCTCATGGATATAATGAATCTGTGAATACTAGTTCAGATAAGAACGGTAGTAGACAATCTAGGAATGAAGTAGCACAGATTACTTGCGGTTAGTAGTTTGATAGCGAGTAGGTAAAGGAGTCCAACAAATCCGAACTGCAACCTTAGGAGGAGATGGCAAAGGGTCCTGTTGATGTACAGACAGTGGAAGTCTCAGCCAGAGAGGGACTGCAAGGTTCAGGATGGAGAGCGGTGCAGGGACAGTGGAGATCTATTGCTCAACGTTCATCTACACTAGAACGCCGAGCAATTGAATCCGCCGTCTTATTGTGAAGGGCAGCAGATGGTTGCGTGACAGTCCCGAGGAGACGAGATGCCGCTGGAGAGGGAGGAGACAAGGTGCCCGGTCGTAACGTCTGTGACTCAATGAAGGATTGTTTGATTGGTGGATGAAGACCCTCGATCAACTTCCAAACAAATTCAAGCTGGCCTTCAGGCACAGGGTGCAACTGTGTCAGCCTGCAATATACGTTGCCATCTGAATGAAAAGGGACGATATGGTAGGAGACCCAGGAGGACCCCACTGCTGACACAGAAACATAAAAAAGCCAGATTGGAGTTTGCCAAAACTTACCTGAGGAAGCCAAAATCCTTTTTGGGAGAATGTGCTGTGGACAGACTAAACAAAATGACAGCTTTTTGGTAAAGCCCATCATTCTACTGTTTTCAGAAAAAGAAAGGAGGTCTTTAAAGAAAAAAAAATACAGTCCCTACAGTCAGACATGGTGGAGGTTCACTGATGTTTTGGGGTTGCTTTGCTGTTTCAGGCACTGCATGTCTTGACTGTGTGCATGGCATTATGAAATCTGAAGACTACCAAACAAAAAATTCTGGGGTGCAATATGGGGCCCAGTGTCAGAGACCTGGAGCAGTTGGCGAAAGAAGGGGGTCCAAAATTCCTGTAGAGAGGTGTAAGAAACTCATTGATGGTTACAGGAAGCCATTGTTTTCAGGTATTTTTTGCAAGGGCTGTGCTACCAAATATTAATTGAGGGTGGCAATAATTTTGTCCAGTCCATTTTTGGAGTTTTGCTTGGAATGTGTCAGATTTGGCTTTTTTTCTCCACTTATTTTGTGTCATACCAATACAAACAAAAGAAATAAACATGAGAATGCCGAAACATTTGCCTTTGCAATTTTGGTGCAATATCTGACAGAAATGCAGGGGTGCCAATATTTGACTGTAGCTGCTTTATTAAGTCAGTATAGGAAACTCATGCTTTATTCTTGGTTATAGTAGCTAAATGTATTTGGTGTTTTGTTTGGTAATATGTAGGGTTGCACAGATACCAAGTACAGTACTCGGTACAAGTACCGATACTTTTGAGCTCCAAGACTACACTAGAGAAAAATTCAAAAGTTAGGAGGCCGCTGTCATTTGTAAGGAGCACACGGAGCTCCTGGGATTTGTACATCTCTGTTTTAATGTACGATTTTGTTTTTATAAATATAAATAAAGGGATGCACAGATACCAGTTTTGCGAGTACGAGTACTGATACTTGCCCAAGTACTTACAAGTACGAGTACTGATACATTTTTGTTTATTGTCATGTGACAGTTTTTCTAAAACAATACAGACTAATGATTTCAGGACAGTGGTGGAGTGCCAAAGCCAGGTCACAGCTGCAACCACTGCAGCCCTGGTAGTTCTCATGAAAATGCCAAGTATCTGCACTGGTACTCGAAAAGTATCTGTGCATCCCTAGTAATATGTCACCAGTCTATGATTATCCCCAGACACCAACACCTCCTATAGCATGCTCACAGTCTATGACCATCTCCAGGAGCTTCCTGTAACATTACATTCAATGATCTTATATGTGGCCCTTTAGTGATGTAATTGAAGTGGACCAGCACTACCTTAATCTACTCGCCATGGTACTATGAAATATGTCAAGGCACAGGGAGTGGGAGGTAGGTTTGTGTGAAGACTACCCTATTCTAATTACATAATCCAGTCACCACGGATTCTGTGACAGGTATCACTTGTTCAGTTACATGGCTGAAGGAGTACATTTTCAAAAACTGTATAAATGGTTTATATGTGGGTCACAGATGGTGCTGAGATACACTTTAGTAAAATATATTTCATATATTGCCCAGAAAACAAATAGTTCTACCTACAATGTAGTGTATATACAATATAATATAATAGTTGTAACTAACTCAAGTAACTGTTGCATGTGTTTGTGAATTTATAAAAGGTATGCAGAGGAACTCAATATGATACCGGTGTGACTCTTTATTCAAGTTCTGGTGTGACATCCAGCTGTAAAATTCCAAAGGAAGCCGACTTTCTTTGTCATTACTCAACTCCTGCAGGTAAAATAATGTAACTGTTATCGATGCAACTTTCCATAGTGTGCCTAGACAGCGGCCAGCCCATAGTAATATAAAGTTGACCTGAATTCATGCTGACACTGTCCTTCCCTCTGGAGGGAGGTTACTTTTGTTCCCCTTGGTCCCTGTGTGTGTTGTAAAGTAGCCACCACTCCGAGCTCGCTCCGTGATGGACTACAATCTCACGTTTAGTTCACGCATTTGTATTGAGATTGTAGTCCATCACGGGAGCGAGCTCGGAGTGGTGGCTACTTTACAACACATGGAGAACAAAAGTAGCCACCCTCCAGAAGGAAGGACAGTGTCAGCACCAATTCAGAGATGATTTGAGAATCTCTGAGTGATACACAAATAAGATACATTTTTGGTAATAAGGTACTTGAATGCTTTTTTAAGATTTAACTCCAAAGTGTCACTTTAAGCTTCAGTCAAGTGTATTTGCCTAGGCAGCTACAGGCAGAAGGAAGTATTTCCTTTAACCCCTTAGGGACCAAGGCCTTTTTTTTTTGTTTTTTGTACCCATGTTATATTACACATTTTAGACCTGAAAATTACTTAAAACCCCCCACCACCAAACATTATATATTTTTTGAAAGCTAAGACCCTGTAGAATAAAATGGCAGCAGTTACAAAATATTATGTTTTGCACGATATTAGCTCAACACATTATCAAACCCCCAAATTTAGTGAAAAATGCACTTAAATGCCCCAACACACAATTAAATAAACATTTTTAAAAATAAAATATAAAAGATGAGGTTACAACGAGTAAATAGATACCCAACATCTAGATAGATACCCCCAGGTTAAAAATGTTGTGCGTCTGTGTGAAACTGCAACAAAATTCAGTACACCAAAAAGTCCATAGATGAGGCTTTACAGGCCCCTACAGGTCATCACTTATGGCCCTAAAATTATTGTTCTCACTCCAGCGTGCGCGGCAATACCCAACATGTATAGCACGATCGTCGTTTTCATACGTAGGTGCACCTGACGTGTGTTTATGTGAAGACGCGCAAGCTCACAGGGTTGGGGGACTTTAGAAACATTTTTTTTACATTTAATATTATTTTTAAAAACTGTTGTTGTTGTTTTTTTTGCTATCACATAGGGGGGCTTACAAGTGTTATGTTATAGCAGATTGGTAGTGACAGCTACTCTTTAAGGTGATGCTGGGGGTCCAAAAGACCCCTAGCATCACCTTTACACTTGAAATAAGCTATTCAAGTGCATATCGCACTTTAATAGCTTATTGCTGGGCATTCAGCTATGGGACCAGAAATGATGTAATCTGCACGTAGGAAAGGCAGCGGAGCCTGTGAACCACAGTAGCGATGTCGGGGGTCGGCCCGGTGACCGGCCCAGAGAAGTGATCTGGCGACAGCATAGATTTACAATTGTAAACAGAGTCTGTTTAACCTCTTGCCGTCCGCCCGTAGTAAAAAAACGGACGGACGGCACTGCTACATCTGCGGGTTGCCGTCTCCAGACGGCAATTTTTTTCTGCTCGCGCGCGCCGATCGCCTATATGTGCTTGTTCGCGGCACCCCCCCATTAGGGGTTAGGGGTCCCCCCCATTAGGGGTCCTAGAGACCCCTAATATCACCATAAAGAGGACCTGTCAGTGTGCCTTTGCTATTATATAGGGGTTGTTATCCCCCTATATAATAGCAATAACAATAAGTGCAAAAAAATAAATATAAATTAAAAAAAATAAAAGTAACACATAAAAAAGTAAAATAAAATAAAAGTCACATATAAAAAAAGGGGAAAAAACCCCCCCAAAATGTTTAACTCCCCCACCCCCACGTTTACGCGCCTATAAACGTAAATACGCGTCCGGTGCCCCAGCGCGCAAAAATTACAATTGTGCTACACATGTTACATATCGCCGCGAACGTCGCAGTGAGAGCAATCATTTTAGGGCCATCAATCACTGATAACACTAAACTGATGAGCGGTAACAGCTTTTAAAGCGTCGCCTAGGGCCAATTTTGGGTATTATCGTTTTTTGAGGTTTCGCGCGCGCACGCAATTTTAAGGCTTGACATGTTTAGTGTCTTTTTACCCGACGTGACCCCATCTTTTATATTTTACCAAAAAATTGGGTAATAATAAATGTTTTATCATTTAATATAGGGGAAACTGTTTTTTTTTTTAAATTTCGGTAATTTTTCCTTAATATAGTAAAAAAATAAAACCCCCAGTGGTGAATAAATACCACCAAAAGAAAGCTCTATCTGTCCCCAAAAAAGGGTATAAAATTCATTTCAGTACAGCGCTGCATGACGGAATAAATGTCAGTCAAAGTACCGCAGCGCTGAATACTGAAAAATGGCCTGGATGGGAAGGGGGTTTAACACCGCGGATGTCAACTGGTTAAAAGGGCCCGGTGCTACTGACGTACTATGGACGTCACTGGTCATTAAGGGGTTAGCAATGACCAACAGCAAAAATAACCTCCCCCAGGTAGCAATAATAACCTATCCATTGCAAGGCAGCAAACATAATCCCCCACAGGCAGATATAATCATCTCCTCTCCAGGCAGCAAAAATTATCGCCCCCCCCCTCCCCAGGCAGCAATCATAATATCCTCCTGAAGGCTTGTGGCATGGCCTGGGATTGTCTGTGGCTGGGTGATGGAAGTCAACTCTAGACAGTGTTGGGAAGCCTATGAATAAGCCTGAAGGCATTTGTAGAAATAATTAATAGCTAATTAATAGCTTTTGATAAAGATTAATCTTCCCCCGGGCAGCAATAATAAACTCTCCACAGGCAGCAATATTATTCTACCCTTAAGACAGAAATAATAGCCTATTATTGCTGCCTGGGAGGTGATTGTTATTGCTGCCTTGGGGGACTATTTATGTAATAATATTAATTTATCAACAGCTATTAATTATTTTCATACATGCCTTAAGGCTTATTCATAGGTTGCCTACAGCTGTCCAGAGTCCATCCTAGGCCATGCTGCAAGCCTTCAGTCACCTTGCAAGATAGAAACCATAAGGCCTGGGAGGGCACACCTCTTTCTTCTGGTCTGGATATCAATCCACACAGGGTGTCTGGACAGTCCAAGGCAGGCACTTTAACTTAACGGGAGCTTTGGCTACCCATATTACTCTGTGGCTGCCTGCTGCCAAAAAATTAGAAAATAGTCCCCCCTCTTCACAGGCCCCAATCAATCTGCCAAGTGCATGCAGCTGAGGCCAAAACTATAACTTAATTGTCAGGTGCTGAGGCTCCCAATGTTGCTGTATGGCCCCTGTTGCTGTAACTGGGGAAATAGTCTCTCCCCTGACTCCATCGGTTCAGCAGTAACTGTTCTCTTGCTGGGAGTTCGGTGGGTGTCTGGTGGCATTAGTCTCCATCTTTGGCTGCACTCAAAGCTGAAGAGTCCCCTATTTCTCGCCTTGGGCCTCATGCTGAACTAATGGGGTCCAGTACAGTGGGCGGCTGGCTCTACCCCCTATTGCTGGAACTGTTTTGACTCATTCATTTAGGGCTTGTTCACACCAGGCGCGGAGCAGGTGCAGAGCAGTTACAGAACGGATCAAAACTGCGTCCAATGTATTCCAATGGTATTTTGGGCTCTAGTTTACCCCAGAGCGTTCAGTTCCAGAGCATGTGGAAAAACTGCAGCATGCCCTATTTTTCCTGCTCTGGAATGCACCAAAACACATGCAAATGCATCAAAAATGCATGAAAACACCCTGGAATGCACTGAAAGCCCATTTTAGGCCAAAAAAAATTAAATATTTTTTGTTTTGTTTACAAAAATGGCCTGGAACGCGTCCAAAATGCAGCACAACACACTGCACAGCATGTGCAGAAACTCATGCAGATCTGGTCTGCATTTGGTGTGTACAAGCCCTAATGTGTGTAATTTTCAGCTTGAGCTACTGGCTCTGATCACTGATCCTTTTAACAGAGGAGTTAAGGAGCGCCTTTAAACATGAAAATGAGCTCAGCACTTCACCTGCTGGCTGGATATGAAAATATAAAAACATCCATACACAATATTTCCTATTTACCTGACCCAAAATGGGGAAAATAATTGCATATTGTTCATTTCTAACCATAATAAATAAAACATATACAAAACCACTACACATTTCCATTTAGATATCACATTTAGATCTGCACTAGTGCATAACTGTGCCTGCATTTGTTTCTGCATGCGCATCTGCAGCAGTGGGAAGCATGCAAGGGAATATACACATCAATGTGATTGTGTACATAAGTCAGTATATTTATAGTACAAATTAACGTGCTATGGCCAGGCTGTTACTAAATGCCATCATTACAGTAAAGGGTCTGTAACCAAACACAATAACTATCAGATGGTGATTACTGTCATTTATCCAATAGTGCTATTTTATATAAAAGTGGAGCCTAATGATCCAGTCACTGACTATTGGATAAATGACATCCATACACAATCTCCCTCTGATCTACTCTCCGGTCCCCGAATGCAGGAAGTGATATTTATCACATCACTTCAGGCAGTCAGCTGTCATTCCCAGCTATAGAAGATCTCTGCTTCATCAGCTTCTCTGGGGGTCCCTAGGTGATATTAGGGGTCTTGGAGGCCCCTGATGTCTCCATAAAGAGGACCAGTCATGTAAATTGGCTATCCCATAGCGGGCTTCTTAGCCCCCATATGATAACAATAAAGTTAAGTGTAAAAAAAAATATATTAAAGAAGCATAAAAAATTAAAGAAGCATAATTTTTAAAGAAAAAAACACTACATTTTTTAAAGTCCCTCGCCCCCCACATACACACGCAAACATGCGTTGGGTGCGCCTAGGTGCGAAAAGGACTATCGTGTCTATTGTGCTGCACATGTTACATGTCACCACGAACATCACAGTGAGAGCAATAATTCTAGGGCTATCACTAAACTGATGAGCAGTAAAAGCGTTTAAATCGTCGCCTATGGACAATTTTCGGTGTGGTCTTTTTTTCCCGATTTTAAAGCTTGACATGTTGGTGTCTATTTACCCGACGTGACCCCGTCTTTTATGTTTTATCAAAAAATTGGGGTGATAATAAATGTTTCATTACATTTCATAGAGAAACGGTTTTTTTTCCAAAATTTAAGGTACTTTTTCATTATATAGTAAAAAATAAAAACCCCAGCGGTGATTAAATAACACCAAAAGAAAGCTCTATCTGTCCCCACAAAATGGTATAAAATTCATTTCAGTACGGCGTTGCATGACGGAATAAATGTCAGTCAAAGTACCGCAGCGCTGAATACTGAAAAATGGCCTGGCCAGGAAATGCCTTTCCCTGAGATCTCGTGATATATTTCCCATCCCTGCTCAGCTGATGTAACCTTCCCAGGATGCGATGCTTGGGCTTGATTACATCATTTGTGTCAAAGTGCACCAGGAAGTAGAACAAATAAATTGTAAGTAAAATAAAAATATGTTTGTTTAGTTAATGAATGTAAGATGATTTCCTATCAGCATGCAGAGCTGCATGCTCATGTGATTTTTAGTCCAAGTGGGTAAAGGTCCACTTTAATATAAAATAAATACAAAATCCATGGGAACCCTTCATAATAGCTACAGTAGGTTTCAGAAACTGAAATTTCAGTTCTGGACAGACTGACCCTTGTAATCACATAACATTAGTTATTAGCCATCTCTGTTACACTGTAATGAAAAGCTGATGAAATTACTTATATGGATTCTCTCTCTCTGAAGGTTATTTTGCATTTAGAAACCGAAATAATGGCTCCTGGTTTATTCAGTCGCTGTGTGAGATGCTGGAAAAGTACTGGAAGGAATACGAGCTGCTGAATATTTTAACACGTGTAAACCAAAAGGTTGCATTGGAATTTGAAAGCAATGGAAAGAAAGAAATGCCTTGTATTGTCAGCAAACTTACTAAAGATCTCTATCTATAAAATGGAAAAAACAAAACGCCTACATTTCTATTAAATATGATCTTTTACTGCACTCTTCTGTCTCTGTTTTACCTCCTATCCTGTGAACTGTCTTTTGCATATCATTATGAAAATTAATCAGATTAAACCATTTTCCCATGCTGTCTACCTTTAGCCCAGTCACACCAATTGCGGTGCGTTCCAGTAGCTGCTGGAATGCACAGCAATCGCTCAATAAACTTCCCCCTTCGTTCTGGGGCGGGAGGGGCCCGCAGTGCAATGCAAAAAATGCTGCAAGCTCTATTTTTTGCGTTCGCAGTGGATGCAGTTTTGCCACCCATCCGATCACACTGCAGGCAGGGGGACGTGGCTGCAGTGCCATGGACTTCAATCCACCGCCACACCTCAGAACGAAGGTGGAAGTTTAGTGAGTGATTACTGTGTGTTCCAACAGCTACTGCTCTGAAACGCATTGCAATTGGTGTGAATGGGCCCGCAGGGACCATAAACCAGCACGTAAAGTAAAGATCATTAATTCTTTTTATGTACAGCTAGCAGAAGTACCTGAATCTGACTTGATATTACTCTTCCTTAAAACCCATGCTTAACCTTGCTCAGACTAGGAGACAGCTTTATTAATTACAAGCAACATTCTTACAGGAAGAGAGAGCACAGAAATGTTTTCATTAGTGTTCTACTAGTCCTTCATTATTCATTCACAGGTAGGTTTGGGTCCTGGTCCAGGTCAAGTTTAAACCGTAAACCCTGGTTGGTAAAATAAAGACGTCAAATGGGAATCTTTTTTCCCAGGAACAAATGTTAGGGCCCATTCACACCAGTAGCTCTGCTACATTGCACAGCTGCTGGTGTGCGTTGCCCGGCCCAGTGCTGATGCGCTGATCCCAGCATATCGGACTGTTTACTTTTTTGTAGAACTTTCATTAAGTTCTATGGGCACAGCGTAGTGACATACTGTGGGAGACAAATAGACTGATTTTAACCTTTGACATTTCTGCTTTGTTTTTATGAAACTTCTGCAAAAATTGAGACATGGTGACAAATGATGAAATCTGTGAAGTTCCAGTAAACAGCAGACAAGTTATGATCAAATCAACCTATGATCAAAATCACAAACATCACATTATCAAAACCATCAAAAAGAGAAAGAGAAGTCTACTTTGATATTCATATAAATATGTCCCATACAGTATGCCATGTGTAGTTTGGCACTCTGAGTTCAGTTGTATAAGTGGGCAAAGTCTCCACAGCCCCCCACCTCAGATTTTCTGTAATGTTCCAGAGCATCCTGCATATTGATCATTTTCTTATGCTGTTGTTCACCACTTTCTCCCATTCCAACAAAGTAGGGGGTTCAGCAGCCATCCAGTGCATGGCTATCAATTTCCTGACTATGAAGAGGGCTTCACCAATAAAAAGCTTTACAAATATCTTTCTAAAAAGCTTAGACAAATAGATCTGGAAGGCATAGTGGAGGGTATAAGGCTAAGGTTGAGCCCAACCCATCATGGAGAATTGTAATAATCTGTGTGCAGCAGCTTCATGGGCGTGGACAGACCACAATTTATAACTAAAAACAGCAGATGATGCACTGCATTTTTGGCACTGGGGTTCTTGTCTTTCTGGGTAATGTGTAAGTACAGTATAATTGGAGTAAACTAACTGTCATTGATAAGGCAAGTCTGTGTGATACTTTTAGAGTAATGTGAGGATTGGGGACATATACTGGAAAAAGTCAAAGATGTCTATACCATCCTCAACTTTTATTTTAGTAGGGTACAGAGGAAAAAAGATATAATACAGGACTGGAAAAGAGCAGCATATTCCCCTATACGTATAAAAAAAAAAACTGGAAAGGACAATAACTGGTTTTCTCTATATCGAGTACCGATATTTTTTTTTCAGTGCTAGACGATACTGGATACCAATACCGGTACTGTGTGTCCCAATTATCAGGAAGCCAGGCGGCGGATCATGACCCGTCACCTAGCTTTCTGATTGCCCGAGAAGCCGTGTTCTATCAAAAGAACACCGGCTTACTTCCCGAGCCTACCTGGCTTGCTGACCAATCCGGAAACAGGGCAGTAGGTCATGGTGTGCCGTCTAGCTTCCTGATTGGTCAGAAAGTCAGGCTGCCTTGCAACAAGTGAAGCCGGCTTCCTAGCCAATCAGGAAGCTGAGAGGCAGGTCATGACATACGGCCCAGCGTCCTGATTGGCTAGGAAGCCGGCTTCATTTGTTACTAGGCAGCCTGAAAGGTGCGTCATGGTGCCGTCAAGGCTTCCTGATTGGTTAGGAAGCCAGGCTGCCTAGCAACAAGTGAAACCAGCTTCCTAGCCAATCGGGAAGCTGGGAGGTGGGTCACAACCTTTCTTATTGGAAAGGAAACTGGTTCCATGCTCCCTCGGCACTGCTGGTCAGAGGTAAATCTCCCTGTGACTGAAATGTCTGGTATCGGAGCACTCGTACTCGCCCAATAACTCAGTATCAGCACCGATACTACTATCAGTATCAGTGCTTTACTAGTTACAGCCTAAAGTCTTGATGTGGAAGAGTACAGTAAGTAGAACACCATTGCAAATTCAGGGAGGATAGAGGAAAAGTTGACCATATTTTCACAATATGAACTTGTCATTTCGGTAAATCAAACTAGGTCATTCATACATTGTATACTGTATATATACAGCAGGGACGTGCGGTCAGGGGAGGGAGGTGAGGCAGAGCCTCACCTAGAATTATGGAGGAAAAAGCTGTCAGCTTCAAGTCTGAAGCCGACAGCTTTTTCTCCATTCAGATCAGCTTCTGTCAGATTACACAGCAGGGAAATCCTCCCCGCTGTGTAACCTGTCATGGACGGAGCGCTGGCTGTTATTTACAGGCGGCGCCACACCCAGCTTTTGACAGGTAGTTAGGTTACACAGCAGCGGGCTTCCTCACTGCTTGTGTAACCTAACTATTGAAGCTCCAGAGCTGTGACAGCCTCTACTCTTTGTTAGAGGCGTGAGCTCTGTGGATGGCTTGGACCAATGGCAAAGCGCTATTGGTCCAAGCTGTCCAATCAAAAAAAGAAAGAAAAAACCACTGAGGCCATCGATCTCGATGCCTCAGCAGTGACGAGCAAGTGAGGGACAGGGAGGCTCCTCCCTGTCTCCCCCCTTCCTCCTTTACACTAGCTTGGGGACAGGTTGGGGCGGGGCATCCTCCAGCGGGGGTTCTCTTTATTGAACCTGTCACTTCCAATACAGGATTTTAGCACTGCACTGTGCTGGAACTCCTGTGACAGTTGAGATGGGTAGGCTGCGAGTGCAGCTCTCCCCTCACTGTTTACACGGAGCAGAGAGGAGGACGGAGGCCAGCTTATCGTGTTGCTCAATGGTGATGTAGACACATCATTACCTAGATGTTGTCCAATGGTGTCTGGAGCAGGACGCCTGACCAGAAAGGAATCCCTCCATGGAGAGGGAACCACCTGCTCTGGAAATCCAGAATGTAGCCAATTAGACAATATTTCTTCAATAAGAGGAACCACCAAAGATGGTCCTTATCAGCTGCATGACTGGGACACAGAGTGACAAGGCCAGGAACTATCTGATCCTTCGGGACAGACATATCAGTTTGAATAGAAACTAGATCTGAAACAGCAAAGGGGATGAAGTAGACCGAGAAGAAATTTCAGGAAACAAAGTGCCTCGGAGAAGAAGTCCCTCAACACCCAATGCTCTAGAGAAGGATGACAATACAGATGAATATATGGGCAACACAGATGGTCTTCCATGTCCCATGGGTATATACATATATATATATATTACACACACACACACAAACACTATATTGCCAAAAGTATTGGGACACCCCTCCAAATCATTGGATTCAGGTGTTCTGTGAAATTTCCTTGCTACTAAATATTCCACGGTCAACTGTTAATGGTATTATAACAAAGTGGAAGCAACTGGTAACAACAGCAGCTCAGCCATGAAGTGGTAGGCCACGTAAAATGACAGAGCAGGGTCAGCGCATGCTGAAGTGCACAGTGCGCAGAAGTCGCCAACTGTCTGCAGAGTCAATAGCTACAGACCTCCAAACTTCGTGAGGCCTTCAGATTGGCACAACAACAGTGCGTAGAGAGGTCCATGGAATGGGTTTCTATGGCCGAGCAGCTGCATCCAAGCCTTACATCACCAAGAAGCAATGCAAAGCGTCAGATGCAGTGGTGTAAAGCACGCCGCCACTGGACTCTAGGGAAGTGGAGTGACGAATCACGCTTCTTTGTCTGGCAATCCGATGGACGTGTCTGGGTTTGGCGGTTGCCAGGAGAACGGTACTTGCCTGACTGCATTGTGCCAAGTGTAAAGTTTGGTGGAGGGGGGATTATGGTGTGGGGTTGTTTTTCAGGGGTTGGGCTTGGCCCCTTACTTCCAGTAAAGGGAACTCTTAAGACATCAGGATACCAAGACATTTTGGACAATTTCATGCTCCCAACTTTGTGGGTACAGTTTGGGGATGGCCCCTTCCTGTTCCAACATGTGCCAAAGCAAGGTCCATAAAGACATGGATGAGCGAGTTTGGAGTGGAGGAACTTGACTGGCCTGCACAGAGTCCTGACCTCAACCCGATAGACCACCTTTGGGATGAATTAGAGAGAAGACTGCGAGCCATGCCTTCTCGTCCAACATCAGTACCTGACCTCACAAATGGTCAAACATTCCCATAGACACACTCCTAAACCTTGTGGAGCCTTCACAGAAGAGTTGAAGCTGTTAAAGCTGCAAAGGGGGGGCCAACTCAATATTGAACCCTACAGACTAAGACTGGGATGGCATTAAAGTTCATGTGCGTGTAAAGGCCGGCGTCCCATTACTTTTGGCAATATAGTATATATGTATAATATTGCAACTGACTGAATACTAATTGGCAGGTACCTGTTCCGTACATCTACTGTATCTAATAGCAACACAACTGTAAATCAATAAATGACTACTACTTGTTTCATAACATGTTTTACCGGTTTTAACACATTGTATAGATGAAT